CCTACTAAATTCTCTCCCGGGCAACAGTTTTTTTGTTTTTTGTTTTTGTTTTTAAGTTTTCTGTCTTTGACCTAGTACAATAGATAACAAAGTTTTTCTTTGAGAATGCTTTTTCAAATTCGGGAGAAATAGTAACCCAGCATCCTTCCCACCTGTCCTCTTCCTATAGAACTTCCAAGCCTATTGATAAAGAGCTTTCTCTTAAAACAGCTTGCGCTGAGACGCCTAGGTGTGCCCCCCCGCCGTCTGCTGTGTCACGTGGGTGTTGGGCCCCGCCCCAGCCGCCTGCCAGTTGCGGCCCCACCCCCGGAGCCGTGAGGTCTGCCTGCTTGCTCCTAGGCTTTCAGAAGCAGCCAGCTCTTCCTGTAGCGGGAGGTATGGGCACATGGCTGCCTGCGGGGGCTGAGCCTTCGGAAGAAAAGCCTGCGTGCCTCTATAGTGCTTCCGTACAGGGCTGACTTTCGTGTGTATTAATTTGAAAGATTGGAAGGGATATTTGGTAAAGCATGGTGGCCCATGATGAGACTGGAGGTCTCCTACCTATTAAAAGGACTATACGGGTCTTAGATGTTAATAACCAGTCCTTCAGAGAACAAGAGGTAAGATGGAGAAAAACAAGCCAAAGGAATATTTTTTTTTAAGTGTTTAAGAGTTGTAACGATTTATTAACTATAATTTTAAATTTATTAAAACAAAATGTGTGTTTGATTTATGTTCAAGTTTTGAATTGTGCTAAGGAACTGTGGTCTAAATTAAAATTTGAATATACATAACTTGTATGTAAAAAAACTTAAAATCTGCCTAGTTAAATATTTGTGTCATTTTTGTGATATTTAATATGCTGTACTTTAACTTGAATGCTTAATTTGGCTCTGTGTGTGTGTGTGTGTGTGTGTGTGTGTGTGTGTGTGTGTTTTAACTCGAATTCATATATTTATATTACCAAATCTGAGGAATTCTTCAATAGAGTAAAAGGAAAAATAAAAAATATCTAAGTTAATTTTAGTAAACAAATTGCTAATAAAGCACTGTCTGACGTGGTGTGCATGTTTTTCTTCCACAACTATTAAATTCATTGTGTACCATTTTTTTCTTCAGAAAGGGTGCTATAAAATATTTAAACCAACAAAATATTTTTCTAAACCCTTTGCTAATTTTCTAAAGTCAAAAGTCATTTTGGCTTTTTAAAGTATGAACATTTATCAAAATCAAGTTACTTTATGTCATTTTAAATAATATTAAGTTTATACTATTTTAAAATAGTGTATATTTTATTAAAATAATGTAGTATTTTGTATATGGTACAGCTGCAATGTATGTACTCTTGGTATTTACTACATTATCACTTAAGAGATAGAAATAGTGTTTCTGTATTCAACTTTTACATATACTTTTAAATTTTATATATATATACCTTACTGGCTGAGTAAAGATGTATGTCCAACATAACACTTTTTGGTAGTTAACATAGCTACAATTTTTAGGAGGTGCGCTTTGCTTTGATGTGGTTTGGCTTTGGTTTTTAGTTTCTGGTTGTTTGGTTTTTGCTTAGTGCTTCAGTTTTCTCAAATGTATAAGCATTTTCTATGAGTTTTGGACCATCAGAAACTAACTTTAGGGGTGGAGTGTATCTTAGTACTAGAGCACTTGCGTAGCCAGGTGTGAGGTCTGGGGTTGGGGAGCTTTTGTCTAGTGTCACATATGGGCCATGTTTTTGGCATGCTTTTATTTCAAACAGTAAAAACAGGAGTGTTGTCAGGGTTTTAGACTACAATATAGCCTTAATAATTTGAGTATTTCCATGTGTGAGTGGAAAGGAAATAAATCCCATACAGTCATAACTCATTTTTATCTTTTTAAAAATAACTATATTTTTATCCTTCTGATTTCAGTTTTTGTCAGGTTCAGAGATTATCAGGTGACTCAAAACAAATAAACCCAGACACATACTGACTTTTTTCAAGTGTCAGGATTTGACTGAATATAGAAAAGACCCTTCTAAAGTTATGCCATCAGAGAAGCATCATTGGAGGAATGCTTTTACAAAAACAAATCCTTTTTTACAGAAAACTAAATTCACAACAGGATTTTCCTATATCGTGTATGAAAGCAGATTTCCTTTGTTAATAAATGTAACTGGCTAATCTGATTAAAAATTAACCCGAATAAACAATGTAAACTCAAATTGAGAGCCCTGGGTTTTTTTTCCCCTGCGAGTGAACTTTAGCCCTGATGAAAAGTTGCCTACAGTAGAAAGTTCCGTGAGGATGTGAACTACGTTGGTATTCTTTATTTCCATAGATTTTTGGGTTATCTTTTGAGGAGAGTATATAATTTCAGTATCCACATCTGTTGTTTTAAGTTCTTTATGTTCACCAAAACATGCTGCTGGCACTCAAAAGTAAATACAACATGATCACCATTGTATGAGCCGTACTATTGGTGGTCATAAATAACTGTGTTCCTCCTCTCTTCCTTTATTACCTCCAAATATTGTACCTGTATCCTGTCTATGGAGAAAGATAAATATGAATATAATACCAGTTCTCCAAAAACATTGTCTTAGAAATATGTTTTGTGACAGTGCAGATATTTATATTCTTAATAACATTCAGATTATTAATTCACCAGGATTTGTAAAAGAAAACTACATTTAGTTAAAATTCACATGGGCCAAATCCTAATCAATATTACAAAAGAGATTTGTTTTTCTCTACCTCTTAGGTGACCCATGAATGCCTAAGCCATATTGCTTTTCCACCAAAAAAAAAAAAATTCATTGACATTTTTCATTCTTTTGAAACTTATTCATATCTGCCAGTCTTCACATATGTCCTTTTAGTAAGGCAGGAACATTATTATTGGGTCCCCAAAAAGCATGTACAAACTGTTTAGAGATGTCTCCTCTCCCTTCCCCCAGACATTTTTCCTGACTTGGCACCATCCTTTCTTAGCAAGCATTTTAAACTTGAGGAACTCTGAAGAATAATATCTCCATTGTGGAGAAGATTATAGTGATTTTTAAAGAACATATTAACTACTAGAAATGCTTGGCATAATATGCTGCTATCCTAAAGAGACTGCATAAACAACATCCAACTAGTTTCAGAAACATGCTTTAGATATATTTACATTTAATTATCTGAAGTCTGTAGTTTTCATTCTAAATGTCACATAATTTTGAATTACCAGGGACTTAATAGTTCTGCACTAATCCTATAACAATAATTTTTATCACTAGTTTGATGTTATATAATTAATAATATCAATAGTTTATTTTCTCCAAACTCAATTCCTAATTTCTCCTTTCAAGTTCACTGGGAGGAACATCTTTCCAAAAGACTTTTATATTGAAATTAAATAATTTGTGATTTACTGGAAAGTCAGACTTGTTACACTTTAAACAAGAAAGAAGAGCTAACCTTTGTTTTCAAAAAAGCAGAACAGAACTGACAACTGCTTTGTTTCAAGTTAATGTTGGCATATCTTACTTTGTGAGGTAATTCTTTTACCATTCAAACAGAAGACGCTTTGTACTGTCTTTAGTAAATGGAAAGGAATGCCTTGTGCCCTGATCTACACACCCATGTGTCACTCAATGTGCACAGATGTGTGAGGTAAAGGCATTCACACATGTCTTCCACCACCGCAGTGTGCGCCATTTTGCTACATATCTCAAAGGTTTCTCTGTCAGTTCATTTAACATGTGCACACTAATGGCTTTATATCCAAAGTGTACTTTGCAGTGAATTATTTGGGAAATAGGAAGTATTCTACAACTCTATTTCTTAAAGGCTTCAGAGTTCTGAATTCTCTTTAATCTACAAGCCTCTTCACTTTGGTGGTTCACATTCCTTTCTGAGGCATTTGTAGACGTTTAAGAGATTTGGTAAGTCCAATTGTTTGGAGTAGACTCAAGTCGCTTAAGTTTCTTTCCAAACAATTTTAATTCTGCCAGTTCTTCAGTTATTTGAAGGGGTTTCTTCATCCCCTTTTAGATGACTTCAGTCATGTCAGAATTTCTTGAATTTCTTCTTTTGATCCTCACACAACTTTGTAAAAAAAATTCTGATTTTTAGCCCTGTTAATCTGAACACTAGTTTTTGTCCATTTCTAGTGTCATACGTGTTTATTTAAGGGTTATCCGCTAAATGACGTAGTTAACAATGAAATTATATAGTATCTAGGGTTTTCTTTAAAATAGACAAGTAAAGGGCAAAGATGAAGCAGTTTGTTATGCAACAAACTATTGAAGATGACTGATAGATACATAGGATCTATTGTGCTATTCTCTATGTACATTTGGAATTTCTCATAATAAGGGTTTTCCAAAAATTTTTGTTATACATTGAATTTAAAAGTTATATAGAATATAGGGCTGGGGATTTAGCTCAGTGGCACTGTGCCTGTATGAGGTCCTGAGTTCTATCCCGGGTACTGAAAAGAAAAATATCAAAAAGTTATGTAGAATCTAATTTATTGGGTTTTTTTTTTCAGCTTTGACTGAGTTTATTGGTACATTTTAGGGATACAGTACAGTTACATTCATTGTTGGGATCTTGTACCTCTACATGACAAGTCTTGATTCTCATTTTTTCCCCTTACCCCTGCCCTCCCTAATTTATTGGTTTTTTGTTTGTTTGTTTGTTTGTTTTTTTGGTGCCGGGGATCGAACTTGGGTCCTTGCGCTTGCAAGGCAGGCCACCGAACCGCAGAGCTAAATCCCCAGCCCCCTAATTTATTGGTTTTAATGTTAGTTTTTCTTCTTTCCAATGGTAATATTTGTTAGGTTCTCAAAGTAATACTGTATTTTTAATAAGTTATTGTTGGTTAGTAGTGTTCTAACTAATATAACTGGAGAACATTCATTTTCAGAATTCCGTGTTTCTGGATTTTATATTATACAAAAACTTTTATGAAAGGAATTAACTTTGTCCACACTTGCATGAAATCATTATAGGTAAACACACATTTAATGTATTCTGGTTTTGTTTTTACAGGAACCAAGCAATAAAAGAGTTCGACCTCTAGCTCGGGTCACATCCTTGGCAAATTTAATCTCTCCTGTAAGAAATGGAGCAGTCAGACGTTTTGGTCAAACAATACAGGTAATGAAGGGAGGAAGGGAAAGTAATGTAGTCAGGGAACTATAAACCTGAAATTTGTTATTTTCTTTAAGCTGTACAAACCTGTCTGTATTACTATACTGAAACATGTTTTCTTTTTGGAATATACTGATAAAGAATATTATTATGAGAACAATGTTTGTATAACCTTGTTATACCAATTTGCATTGTATATACTTTTCGGTGGTTTTTATTACCAAAGAGTAATTTTTTGGCTGATAAGTATTTTTAAATGATGGAATGAAATATAAATAAAATTGCTTTCAGCATTGAAAAATTCTCAGGGTTTTGTTTTTAAATTGTGTTTCTTCACTTTAAAAAAAATAACTGTAGCCTCCAAATCTCAAACTCTCCTTTGTTCATCTTTTTAAGTCATTTACTCTTCGTGGTGACCACAGATCCCCAGCCTCTGCCCAGAAGTCATCTGGCAGATCAACAGTCCCAACGCCTGCCAAAAGAAGAAGCAATGTGCTGTGGTCAGAGATGTTAGACATCAGTATGAAAGAGTCTTTAACCACCAGAGAAATCAAACGTCAAGAGGTGCGCTAGCATCAGTTTCAAGTACAATACCATATTTATTGACCTTATACTTAAAGAAAAAAAAACTCATTTTAAATAATGGGTTCCCAGAAGACTTAACAAACTAATTTCTTGTAGGAAATCTGCCTTGTATTTAAGCAACAGCTCATAACATGAAAAGAATACTTTGTGATGAGTGGTGAGCATCCATTTAAACAGCTCTGATGTGTAGAAGTATAAAACACATGGCAGCCTCTCACTAGCAATCCTATTCTGAATTAGCTTTCAGACTAAATCACTTTAAAAAGATTTGTTCAAAACAGTTAAATAATGTAAATGTCATTTGCATATGATTTTCCTTTCTCAAAGAATGACCTCTTACGTTTGCTGGATTTTTTTTTTTTAAGGCAATATATGAAATGTCCCGAGGTGAACAGGATTTAATTGAAGATCTCAATCTTGCAAGAAAGGTCAGTAAATAATCTTTTAACAACTAGTTTTAAAAATTACATTTCACAAATTGTAAAGGGTAAGTTTCTTAACCTTTAGAATAGAAAGATCTGCTGGTGCCTAAGTGCTTTACATGAAGTGTAGATATATCTCATCAAATATGAGTATAAGGAAGAGAACTTTTGCTGGATTTATGTATACTTTAACTTCTTTTACTCAATCTGTGCTAGTTTTAGCATAGTTAGCCAAATGCATTCAAGTAGAGTTTTCTTATGTTTTGTTTGCTTGATCCTTGTGTGACTGATTTCTCCTCTTCTGATTAGGCCTACCATGACCCCATGTTGAAGTTGTCTATCATGTCAGAAGATGAACTCACACACATATTTGGTGATTTGGATGCTTACATACCTCTACATGAAGGTTAGATGTGCTGTTTGACTGAACTGCAGTTATACAATCAATTTAAAATCTAAACTAATAACATGTTGACCTATTTTATAAATAAAATTGTTGTTCTTTCTGCTTTTCTATACTTCAGATTTGTTGGCAAGAATAGGAGAAGCAACTAAGTCTGATGGAACAGTGGAGCAGATTGGTCATATCCTTGTGAACTGGGTATGCAGTGAGTCGTTGATTCTAGTTAGTTTCTTACAGATTTGTCATGTTACAGTTTGTGATGTAAGTATCATTTGCAAACAGATAATGCATTAAAACTAATATTTATGGTGATAAGAAGTTACGTCTTAAAGAAATTCATATATAAACCTGTTTGCAAATATGATTCTGCAAAGACAGGATTTCCTCATTGTATGCTGCTAATTATCTGCTGCATTCTTTCATTAATAAACATTTGAGTGCCTGCTAGACACTGAACATTGGGAATTCAGTAATGAAAGGTGTTTTCTGCATTTATAAACTTGTGAGGGAAGAGTCAAGCCTATAAATATTGTCAGGGTTGGTGATGACTATACTAAATGCCCAAGCTATCCAGGAAGCTCAAGTGACTAACATCTAAGTGAGGTTGGAGGAAGTAGAAGTCATGAGTCTTCAGTCAAATATAACAAATTAGGGAACTTGTAAAAGAGCATTCTGATATTAGCCCAGAATATAATTCTCCCTTTATCATCCCCAGGAAAATGTTATTAAAACTCAAGAATAGCTATATCATCGTTTGGTGTTTTATGTTCATAGGGCTATTAACGTACTTAACAATAATAAGAATGCATCATACTCTGTTTTTTATTCTTCAGTTACCAGGCTTGAATGCCTACAAAGACTACTGTAGTAACCAGCTGGCAGCGAAAGCTCTTCTTGATCAAAAGAAACAGGATCCAAGAGTCCAAGACTTCCTCCAGCGATGTCTTGAGTCTCCCTTCAGTCGAAAACTAGATCTTTGGAGCTTCCTAGATATCCCTCGAAGTCGCCTAGTCAAATATCCTTTACTATTAAAAGAAATTCTTAGACACACTCCAAAAGAGCACCCTGATGTTCAGCTTCTGGAGGAAGCAGTAAGTAGTCCAATAAACAAGTCTTCCATTTTTCAAGTTTGTGTGTTAGAGTACCTCAGGAAGATATTTCAGTCTTTCATATACTAAATCAGCACAGTGAAGTGTTTCGTTGTTATTAAATACCTGATACATGAGCACACTGTAATAAGGAGATGTGTCTGTGTGGCAGTTATATTTTACATTAATAGTTTAATCGAAGGACTGGATTTTAATCTGGCCTATACCACTAGCCAGCTTCTGACTTTGGATAAATCACTCAGTTTGGCTGAGACTGTTCCTTCATCTGTGAACTGAAAGGACTGATTGAATTGATTTCTAGAGTCCCTTCAAGCGTTCAGTTCTGCAGTTTCAATTGGCTCTTTGCCCTGTAGGGAAGGAAGCAGAAGTTAATACACTGAAGTTGTTCATGAGTTTATTGTGGTAATTTTTAGGTATCAATAATACAAGGAGTTCTCTCTGATATCAATGTAAAGAAAGGAGAATCTGAGTGTCAGTATTACATTGATAAGCTGGAGTATCTGGATGAGAAGCAAAAGGACCCAAGAATTGAAGCAAGTAAGGTGCTGCTGTGCCATGGGGAGCTGAAGAACAAAAATGGACATGTGAGTGCATTTGAGTACTAACAGAAAACAAGCTTCCCTCTTCCCATACCATTGAACTTTTTTGCACATAAGTTAGGAAGCAGGTTTGTAAAAAATTCATGAAATGGTAAAAGAATACTGATTTTTATTTTATGTTATCAGCTTTGATAAAGCAAACATTTGTGTCCTATCGGAGCATAAATAGGATGACTTAAATTTCTCAAGGATTAGTGGTACTTTTTCAGTTTAGAAGCATAAATTTACTCATTTGAGTAGGGGTTCCTTTCCAGGTTCTTTATATTTACTAAAAAACAACACCCTTCCAAAAATTGTTTTAAGACTTTCTAATTAAGGAAGCAGTTTTTAATAAAACTATTCAGTACATTTCTACAGATTAAATAAAATCAAGTTTATTTTTTAAATACTAATTACAAAAGTGGTGGACCTAAGTATAACCATGGAATGGTATTTTTGTTTCATTATGTGTCTTTTTTTTTTTTTTTTTTTTTTTTTTTTTTTTTTTTTTTTTTTTTTTTTTTTTTTTTTTTTTTTTTTTTTTTTTTTTTTTTTTTTTTGTACTGGGGATCAAACTCCTCGGGCCGTTGTGCTTGCAAGGCAGGCGGTGGAACCACTGAGCCTGATCCCAGGCCTTCATTATGTGCTTTTACAGCTGGGAATGGTGCCAAACACCTATAATCCCAGCACTCGGGAGACTGAGGCAGGAGGATCACTGTGAATTCAAGACCAGCCTGGGCTACATAGTGAGTTCCAGGCCAGTCTCAACTACACAGTGGGACCCTGTCTCAAAAAAAACAAAAACAAAACATGTGCTTTTTTAAAAGCCCAATTTCAAAATTGGGTTTTTTTTAGAAAACGTTTTGAAATCTGATATCTCTGATTTTTATCACAAGTCTTAATTTTTCTGTAAAATTTGTATAGCCAAAATGAAACTATTAACATTTTACCAGCTTGGATTTTTTAATTGCTACTTTTTCGAAAACTATGATACATAATACTAGTGTTTTAAGTCATATTTCTACTAATAGTCTAGTCTTTGTGATGTCATAGTGCTAAAGTATTGCTTAACCCAATAGTGCATACCAATAAAAAATGTTTTGTGAGGGCCAGGAATTTAGCTCAGTGGTTCCGCCGCCTGCCTGGCAAACTCAAGGACCTGAGTTCAATCCCTGGTACCAAAAAAAAAAAAAAATAAATAAATGTTTTGTGAAATCTTGATATTGAATTTTCCATGTAAAATACACATAGTCTTGAAATTACTATCTTACGGTCATAGACAGGATCTTAGGGAATCAATTTGATAAAATTAAGAATGTCAAATCAAGTTTTTAACAATGTGTTTCCGTCATGTGCAAAGTTCCATATTGAGAGAGCATTTTTTCCATTTTCTCCAGAAACTTTATATTTTCCTGTTTCAAGATATCTTGGTTTTGACTCGGCCTGTTACTCGGAATGAGCGTCATTCTTACCAGGTTTACCGGCAGCCCATCCCAGTCCAGGAGCTAGTGCTAGAGGATCTGCAGGATGGGGATGTGCGAGTTGGAGGATCCTTTCGAGGGGCTTTTGGCAACTCAGACAAAGGTAAAAATAGTTTAAAAAAACATAAACTAAGAACTAAATGAATTTATTCTTAATCTTTAAGAATTCTAAAAATTAAATGATTTCCTTTTCTGGTACTTGGTTGAGTTATTTCCTTTCTTTTTTTCTTCAAAATTTTTCCAGCTAAAAATATCTTTAGAGTCCGCTTCCAGGACCCCTCTCCAGGCCAGTCTCACACTCTACAAGCCAATGATGTATTCCACAAGCAGCAGTGGTTCAACTGTATCCGAACCGCCATTGCCCCTTTCCAGCAAGTCACCAGTCCGCCAGAGCTTCAGGATTTGCCAGAGCTCCACGAAGAGGGTGAAGAGAACAACCCTTCAGCCGGGAACCCCCAAGCCCAGAGAAGGCCATCGGTGGTTTCCAGTGTTACGCGGGTAGAAGGCAGTGAAAATGCATCTGAATTTGGTTTTGGTGTACAGGTAGCAGAAGACTCCAAGAGTGCAAAGGGACATCAAGTGCAATATTGCTTCCGAAGAGCAAGCGACAAAGCTCAGTTAAGTGGCAGACAAAAAGAGACTTTGGTGTAAAGGGAGCTCTGTGGATTAACTGTCAGGGAGACTATTTATAAATGTGTACAGTTCTGGGTTTTTTGTAATGGGGCTCTCATAGGTTACTTTGTACCAGTTGTAACATTTTCATGGTTTGAGGTTCCTTTTCCTTTCTTTCTTTTATTTTTTAATGGCAGCTAAAGGTATTCAGATTACAATTAAATTGCAGACTTTTTTTCCAAAGATATTTTCTTGGATTATTTAGAACATGCAAACCTGATATTTTTAATCAGATGAAATATTTATGAAATTAATGGGTTTTTCTGATTATGGACTCTTGACTTTTCAGTACCAATCAAATGTGATATTTAGAATATCTGCTAAAACTCAAAATTTTTAAAATACTGGAATTCTACCAGCATTCTTGGTTAAGCCTTGCATGTCAAATATAAAATTTTTATATTGGCACCTAAAATTTTCATGAAATATATGTTTGAAGTACTTCAAAATTTACGTTGAAATGTAACTTCCTTAAAAAAACTTAATAAGTTTTCTGTTTTATCAACTGGAATATTTTTTATTATGTTAGACTTTTATTTTCACTGCACATTCCGCATTTTTCTTTCATTTATCCTGCCAGTTATTTAATTTTTTATTGTAAAGTAGTTTTTAGTATTTCCTTTTATTTTTTTACTTTGGTGCCTTTTCAAATTGGCATGTCTCTAAAAAGTATTTTCTTCCTGATTAAAATGCGTGTGTGTATATGTGTGTATATATATATATATAAATATATATAAGTATATATTTGTGGGTTTTAAAATCATATTAACTTTACCAAGTAAAACCAAGCCATACTGTTTTTGAGCCAATTAAGAAAATTGGAATTTTTAAAGTGTAGCGTTTCGGGGTAGTGAAAACACATGTAATAACTCAATATATTTTAGACTACTGAAAGAAAATCACTTCAAAGATTTTGTTGAAAGTTTTAACATTGTCTGAAAAGCAAGAGGGAAGGTAGTTGACTGGTAATAAGTAAAAGGAAAAAAAGAGGAAGAAAGAAAGTGGTTTTGTCTTCAAGTAAAAATGTCTGGTTGTACCAGAGTGTGAAAGGAAATAGGAAAAGCTCAACTTGAGGGTGTATAGTAAGTTGTAGAAGGCTTGAGGAGATGTGAACTTTTATTTGCTTTGGTTTATAATACCTGCAAATTATGGGTTTGAAAAGTAACAAATGTGTTCAGAATTGGACAATATTAAATCAGTTTTGGTGGATTTATTCATAAGATGGAATAAAGACTGGTCAACCTTTACTGCAAAATGTTTCCATTAAAATGAGATTATAGTCTTTAAAAGGCGAAGGGAAGACTGAAGCCCTTTGTCATCACAAAGTTTGTATAATGGTAATCAAGTCAGTTTTGACTATTACGTGAAATATATTTGCTAATGGACATGAAAATTTGAAAAGACTGTAAATAGATCAGTCAAATGATTTCTCTGTATAAATGAATTATACAATTAAAAAAAGCACACACAATCACCCTAAAGGTGTCTTGCCTGGTGGATATTTTGGGGGCATCTGCCTAAACATGTTGATGTGACAAAGGAGGTAGGTAGTAGCATGTTTCACAGTTTATAAAAATCACATATATTAAAAATATTTTTTTCTTTTGTCAAAAAATACAAATTAAAACTACCCCAATTTTTTAATAATCACAAATAATCAACTCTTAGAAATTCATTGATGAGCAACAAAAAAGTTCAGTTAGATCAAGTCTTGTACTTTGTGAAACTTTTTAAGAACACATTGTAATAAAAAATATAGCAATATACAGAATACAACTTTCTGGTTATTACATTAAAGCTATTAGCAGAGAGCATCCTAACTGATTAATTTTTACATTTTGATTTAGGTATCTCAGATTCCTCACTTTGGAAATTCAAATTCAGAAGTATAGACTATACCAGTGATTGTGATCTGTAATGTCAAAAAGCAATAGTTCCAATGTTTTCTGGAAGTGTAACATAGAATATCATTCCTTCCAGAATTACCTTCATCGGTTTTCAAAGTTACAGAGGAAAGTGGTAGTTCAGATATTATAAGCAGAATGTTTTATCTGAAATTATATCTTCCTTTATTTCACTGATGGGAAAAAATATAAGAGTGTATGAAATGAAAGTTATTCAGAAATAGCATTTATAAAACAGTGTTGGATGACTTAGCCGAGAAGTCCTTAAACTTGTTAGGGACATCATAATCACCTGGAGTGCTTTAAAAATAAAAGTAGTTGGGCCTTTTCCCATTCTCACATGCACATCATTTCACTGAACCTAGATCTTGGGAGAGGGAAAATAGAGGGCTGATAATTTATATCTACAAATGTTCTAGAAATTTGGGTACAGTGAGTTCTTAGAGTCAACAGTTAATCATCATTAATCTGGCCAATGCCCTGTATGGAAATGATGTATAGTAAGTGTGAACACATGTGTCCTCCCAGTTGCCTTAACCTTTTTAGAGTTGGATCTGAAGAGTCTGATCTTAACCTTCTCCTAGTAGGTGTGGCTGTATATTTGCAGCAATGAATATCTATGTGTCAGGTGTTCAGCTCGAGTTTTGTCTCGGGATGTGTGCACACAAAGTGCTGAACTAAGTCATCTAATTAGCAGTCAGTTGGCAAGATTTATTAAGAAACGTCTCCACTGACCCACTGAGCATTTGGCTGCTTCTGTGCTAGTTAGGTCTACCTGTGTTTAACACTTTTTCGAGTATGAAGATCCAGCACAATATTTATTCTCAGAAGATGCATGATTAACTATAATGTTAATCTTTAATTTCACAGTCATCAGAAAGTGCCTGGTTAAGGCTCACATCTGTAAATCTTGATGACTGAGATGAAGAATACCCTAAAGCAGCCCTCTCTTATAGTTGGTCTTCATCATACTCCTCGTTTGAAAAGCCACCTACCCTAGGGGTGAAACTGCTCGGTAACAAGTATGTCTCTGTTATGTTTAGAAGTCCTGAGGGTTTGAAGCAGATGTTACCTCCACACACTTGGGTGTTTTAAATTGACATGACATGAGCTGGCAGTATGGCTGCTTGTTAGAGCCTTGTTTAGCAACTGTACTCTAGTTATATAAGCACTGCATTGAAAGATAAATGAGTGTGAGAACACCTATAAAGTGTAATTCCCATTTGACTAGAATGTCCTAGCAAATGAATTTTCCTAGATCCAGGGTAAGTCCAGAACTTGATCTAGAGGAATTTTAATTTTTTTCTGCACATCAGAGCACTCCCCAGAAACAACTGTAGGACTGGATCATGGATGGATGAATAATGACACAAATCCATTGGTATTTTAATTAGTTTAGTGTGTGAGCGTTTTGAAAGTCTTAATAAAAGCTATGGATCCTTTTGCCAGGAAAGAAATATTATATATATTTCTCACAATTTAAGGGGCTTAAGGATATTTTCCAAACCTCTCTGTGGACTCCCAAGTGCAAATCTGCTCAAATCTGTTCCAGTGAGAACTCTGGATTTGCTTTGTCAATGTGGATCTCAAGGTATTGATACTACCCATGCTTTATGAGTAATAGTTGAAAATTCATACACTTCTAGCTGGTCTTCTAAGCCTTACTTAAGACACGCTCAGCTGCTCTGGATATAGTCTTCTACAAGGTAATTTCTTTTTTTACATAATACTTTGAACTTGATATCACATGGTCCTCACCTTGGAATCCTGTGCCTTTCTGGTCCTTGTTCTCTCCAGAAATGTACCTCCTCTGTTTTCCCAAAATATGGGCCGCCTGTGGAGTGATAAATGTGAACCTGAGTAAAACTGAGCTCCTATCCTAAACATGAAGTGGTGCAGCCCATTTACTGGTTACATAGGCAGGCATCTCACAATGAACAAGGTATGGATTTTTAGGTATATAAGACAATTGGACCCTCAGGATAAACTCCCATGGATTAAAACACATCAAACATACTTAAAAACATAGCTTCATAATGATTTTTCTAAATTAATTTTTGATCCCCCTTATAAGTATCTGAGAGAATTAACCATCTTACTACTTTGAAAATTGGTAAATAATCATGTATTTTTCCTACCCTTTTAATACAAACTATCCCTCAGGAAACTAAGTAACGAAGGGGAGATTCTCTGCGTAGCAGAAGCCCAACTGATAATTGAAGGAGGAGTCACCATCATGTTGCTCTCATGGGAACCTAGGTGAACCTAGATATTGATTGTGAATAAGGATCTAACATAAGCAGACAGAGCCAGGGATTTAACTCAGTGGTTCTGCTGCCTGCCTCCCAAGTGCAAGGTCCTGAGTTTGATCCCTGGTCCAAAAATCAAAAGACAAAGAAGCAGACGGACAGATACCACTGCCTCCTGAGAGAAATGCACACCAAACAGCCCTGCTAAGAAGGTCATGCAGCTGGATGTGGTGGTGCACACCTGTAATCCCAGCACTAGGAAGACTGAGGCAGGAGGATCACTGCACGTTGGAAGCCAGCCTGGAATATATAGAGAGTTCAAGAGCAGCCTGAATTACATAGTGAGACCCTGTCTCCAAAGCAGAAAGATCAAACCTGAGCCTGATTTAGAAAAAAAAGGCAGAGTTTCTTTAAAATTGAAACTGAGAAAAGAGGTAGGAGCAACATCTATGATTTAGGAGGTATCAAAAAGCTAAACCAAAAATTTTAAATAAAATAATCAGGAAAACATTCAATACTTGAAGTTAAGTAGTTTATTGCACTTTTATATTTTTCAGTGGCACAATGATGAGTGTTTGAGAGACAGCAAAATATGGATAAAATTGATCTGGGGGTGTAGCTCAACGGTAGAGCACCAGTTTAACGCAGAAAAGCCCCTGGGTTCAATCCCCAGCACCAAAAAGAAAAAAAAATAATTGATGCCCGGGATCACGTTCAAAATTTTGGGGTAGGACATGGTTGGGAATGAGAAAGTGAGATTGGCCATCTATTGAGAATTCTGAACCTATGCTCTTTGTTTATCTTTGTATATGTTTGAAATTCTTCACTAAAAGTTTAGAGGAATTAGGAAAATTCAGGTACCGAGTATGCTTTCCGTTCCTCAATCTCTTAAATTTTCTCCAATCTTTCAACCTTTGCTTTGGTGGGTGGGGGGGTGTTGTGAGACAGGGTCTCACTATGTAGTTGAGACTGACCTCAAACTTACTATGTAGCCCAAGCTGGCCTCGAACTCACAACGATCCTCCTGCCTCAGCCTCCCAAGTGCTGGGATTATAGGCATGCGCCACCACGCCTGGCTGCTTTTCAAAAGTAGAGAAAGAGTGCTTACCA